TGATATATACGTATTTGCTGAACTGTTCACAGGTTCCGAAGAACGAGATCACATGTTCGTGAACCGTTTGGGTATTTCTTCGCTTATCAGAGGTATGTGCCCGCTTGGTTTCACTGTATGTTTATGCAACTCATTTTGCTATTTCCTCTGGAAGATTTTGCTATCTCCGTTGGAAGGCGAGAGTTAACTTGGAATGATTATACAGGCACTACAAATAATACAAAATACAATCCCTTTTGCCATGGTACAAAAGCCCCGGTGGCGTAACGGATAGCGTACTCGTCCATCAGCAGAAAATGCGGGTCCGGGTCCCGCTTGGGGTGTAACTTTTGCCCACAACTCATTCTTATGATAACTTTCGGAGCGCGGACTGTGGCATTTGATAGCAGTTAATATCGAAACCTCCTACCACCCCTTTTCTTGCACTCATAATTGCTCTCATGGTAGAAGACAAAAGCCTTGAATATCTGACAGCAGCTTATTTTTTACCAGTTTGGCTGACGCGCACTTCTGTTGTTGTGTCGTTCATTTCGTGTGTGGTCGAACCTTTTGGCTGGTTGAGTCGTGGGTGAGATGAACCTATTACGATTTTGGACGATTTCCAACTTCTTCACTCCAGACAGTGCTGAACTTTGCGCATACTATCGATTATACCCTAAATCGGATAGAATCACAAATCGCCTTCGATCCACCCTCAATCGCTCCCAACAACGATCAGATGATAGCCGACGACAAGTTTCTCCCTTTGCCTTACATTTCAGTAAAGTGGAATGCAGTATGTTTTGCTTCTTTGATAGCGATGCCTAGAAGGTTACGGTACACATTAACAATCCTAGAGTGATTCTCAGTCGAATTACATACAGGGTACAGCATCGTGATGTGTGAAATGGTGGTGTCAGGATGACGACCCCCCCTCCCCTCTCTCGAAGGAGGACCGTAGCGACCCCCCCCCCCGATCTTCCTTAAGACCTACCTACGCACTTTGCAAGTTCCCAGCTTCTACTGGAGACTGGAGAGTTTTCTCAGAAATTTCCCACATTTTCCAGTTTTTCACCCAAAAACATTCCGTCGAGCGAGTTGGGAGGGAGTTATATAGTACACATAAAACAGGAAAAAATCACGAAAAAGTCAACAACCGGGAAAAGGTCTCCCGAACGCGGCAAATTTCCCTTAGAGCCTCCCTCTCCCAACACACAACAAATACCCCTTCCTTTCTCACGAAACTACGACCCCCCCCCTATATTTCACACAGCGAAGCTGCAAAATATCGTGATACATATTTGTCCTAGTTATCTTAATTTGTGAGTGAATCTCAGCAATAAAGACAACTTTTCCCTCAACATTACTCATTCGACGGCAATCTGCATCTAACGCTGACGAAGTGCTCTCTCAGTACAGTTGCATCAGTATGCAGTGATGGTGGGAACCGTTGCGTGTCCGATAGGAGGCCATCACTGGTCAAGGAACCACATTCATCCCTAGCTGTGTAGCTCCAGATTTCTTCTGCCTTCAGTAGTTCCTTCACACTGTTTCATTCAAGGTGGTGTTGCAATTACTGCGACAGGGCCATGTTACGTAGCCTTGATTGTGAATAGTGATCTTAGCGATTACTCAACAATAATTTGTAGCGAAGTTGACTCTCAATGAACTTTAGGATCTGAACAATTATTGGGTACACGAACGCTGTTAGTTTTTCTGGATTTATCGTTTCATTTCAGCTTTCTTCCAAAATTTTCCCGGTTTTTTCCATAGTGGTGGTGAGTTCCTGTCTGTCTGTCTGTTGACGGTCCACAAGCCGAGACCACATTAACTGTAAATCGAACCGTAGGACTCCAACCCTCGGAGGGGAATAAAACAACTTAACCTGTCGCACGCCTCTCTCGAACATGAGGGCTAACCAGATGTGTGCGTTATCAAGCAAAACAAGAGCTCATTTCTCGAATACGACCTCTCGCGAGGGGTAGAGGAAATCATGGTTGTTCTCTCTGCTCGAAAAAAGATCATTGTATACATAAACCTTTCAATTTACCCTAAAACGCCTCGAAATTTTACTGGTCTTCTGACTGTGCTCGACCGCCGCAGCGAGAGTGTCAGCAGGGCAGTGTTGCAATCTGATTTGCGAGTTTCTCGTTGTATCTTGACAGCTCGTCATGAGTCCAAAATCAATGTCTCAGGAACATGCTCTAAGACCTACCTGTGGTCGGCAACACTGTGGTGTAACAGATTCACCGTGTTGCGCATGTCGTCTTCCATTCACAGGCGGGCTTTCAATAGATACCCTTTCCGGGTCGATCTACACATTCACACAAAACATAGGGCGCTCCTCATCCAAATGAGCCCGGCGTCTCTTATTTTGAACTCTTGGACTCATCTGTGGTTTTGTACTCAAACCTTCCATACGCTTTCCTTGACAAAAGGTATCCTGACGCTTTTTCTTCGAAGAGTAAACTTGAACATAGTGTGAAGATTCCTTCACCAATCACTTCTGCTAGGTTTTTTTTTATGACAACTGCTGTTTACGCCGCAGTACGCGTTCCGAATGTTATCACAAGAATGCTGAGTTGTGGGCAAAAGTCGTGCCCCAGGCGGGAGTCGAACCCGCACCTCACGCTTTCCGGGCGAGTGCGCTATCCGTTACGCCACCAGGGCCGCTTTTACCCTCTCAGCTTAACGGCTTATGCCGTAACCTTACAGCACTCACACGTTTAACTTGGTGAGCACTTATCTTAAGCCAAAAATAGCTTCAGAAACTTGTAACGCCTCGGCTTGCGTTTCATGTCGATTTTCTAACCAAATTACGGATTGACGGCTCACCAAGTTAAACGTGTGAGTGCTGTAAGGTTACGGCATAAGCCGTTAAGCTGAGAGGGTAAAAGCGGCCCTGGTGGCGTAACGGATAGCGCACTCGCCCGGAAAGCGTGAGGTGCGGGTTCGACTCCCGCCTGGGGCACGACTTTTGCCCACAACTCAGCATTCTTGTGATGGAACTGATAGACTGCCCAATTTCTTTTGAGTACGTCGAACTGTCGATTTCCATTTATAACTGTACTGAAGTTGAAAGCGTCACTGACACTGACTTGCTTAACCGCATGGTGATGATTTCGTTATTGTTCCCCTATTGAAGCATAGGTCTATGTATTTTCGTCGGTGGGCGGAGCGAGGGTCACCACTATGCCTCCCTCACTCGTGCTCCCATCCTTTCTACTATAAAAAGGAGTAGGAAAAAAAGAAATAAAAAGGAGTGTTGCATAAATGAGGAATTCACAATGGTAGGCCTGATTTCCTGAAATGATCTAATGGACTGAGCCTCAACTAATATTTTCAGAAGCGCAAGCTGCAGGCGATAGCCATGAGCAGGGAAGACTCGTGTACAAGTTTGTTCTTCATAATTACTTCGTAGTTTTTTCACCGGTTTTTTAAGCAGTTTTCAAATAGTTATTTATATGCACACTGAATACAGTTTGGTGGTGACGTCCGTAGCGCAATGATTCCAACAGCCTGTACGTCGTGCTCCCCACTGATCGGTAGCGCGAGTGCTATTTTCTTTCGATCGATCATGATAATCCATGCCCTATTGAGGTATCAGCTCACCGTTTCGTTATTTGTCACGAGTTTTGAGGGCAGATTCCACAATGGCTATGTGGGCGGGGCGGGCTTAATGCTGAAAAATTTTAAATGTATAAGCAGCAAATGTCGGAATTTTTACATAATGTCCACTTTAAAAAGGTTCCACGGCACGGTGATGAAAACGAGGATGTCATGAGCCTAATTGATTATCCTCTTTAGATCCTCTGCATTCATATTGTAAAGCTGTGATTGAAATAAAATAGGGCCGTTGATTAGTCTCCGGCGCAGCGAAGAACTTCATTGTGGCTCGATGACCCAACCGAAAACTTGCTATGCTTCACAGTTAGGGGGCCTGTTAGGTGATTAGAATGTAGCGACACAATGGATAGCCCAGCTCCGCCCACAAAACCATCGTGGAATGTGCCTTTGTCTCATTTAAACACATTTCCAGCGACGTTCGGTGTACGATATGCTGCCCACAGCCGCTATGATATCTATGGCATCGTGTGCTGCCGGCTCGGTGAGGGGATATGATGAGCTTGTCAGGAATAAGGTACCGTTTTTCCTGCCTCATTCATAGTTGTTGAGGGGGGAGGGGTTAAAGGACGGGTTCGTCTTCAGAATCCTAGCCAAGGTTTCGGACTGCCGAGTTTCAGATCCACGTCGTCCAAGAAAAGCGTCCCTATGCTAAATGGGGCAGTGAGACGAATTCTAACAGTGGAATAGTTGAAGCTCGGCGTATTCTCAACGAATTACATCTCTCATTGGCCAAGGCGAACTATACACAGGTCAGCTTCATAAAATCTGCCCATATATGTAGTCGTTAGCAGTTTGAGTCCTTTTGCGCTGTCGTTCTCTATTTCATTGGTATTTTACAGGTTTTTGTTGACCAAATGAGTCCAGACGTTGTTGGAATTACGAGGCATAACCCAATTACGCACGATACTGTGGTTGTGGTGTCTCATACGGCTTTCAATAAACATCAAATCAACAAAG